CCCCAAAACCCCAAAACCCCAAAACCCCAAAACCCCAAAACCCCTTTAAGGTCCCTTGTTATTGTTAATTATTAAACTAATTTTTGACAAATCTCAAGATGAGAAGAGCAGACGATCCAATGGTCAAGTGTCACTTTGACAGGTCTCATGTTATGCCAAGACCAAGATATCAATGGCACCTTGTTAAATGCAAGGCTCATGTAAGTCGAGTCTGACAACCCCTCTAGAAAAAGTACCAAGACAGTGGGAGACCTATCTATCACTGCAAATGGAACTACATGCACATATTCTTCACCGAAGCAAAGCTCCTAAACCACCAAAAGAACTGCCACGACAAAGTAAGCCCCTCTCCAATCCTCCTAACCCACTAAAATAGGACGAAGAGTTCGAAAAGAACCAAGCCAAGCTAAAACTCATCGAAAACCGCAAGACCCAGGAACAGAAAGACTCCGAATACAAGCAAGCTATTGCCAAGTGGAACCAGTCAGGCAGCGACTCTAGTTCTGAAGATGAAGGAGAAGGAAGAGAAGAGGGGAAGAAGGTAGAGGAGAATGGGGGGTTGGAGAAGGAAGAGGAGAAGAAAGAGGGAAAGAAGGGGAAGAAGGGAAAGAAGAAGAGGAAGAAGGGGAAGAAGCAGGAGCAGGAAGAGGAGAAGAAAGGTAGGTTGGAGAGGGGAGTAGAGATTATGGATTTGTAGATGATAAGTGGGTCGGAAGTTGGGAATCTCCAGTGGAGATATTTAAAGGTAAGTTAACTTAGGCATTTCTGAATGATTTGAGCAATTTTGAAGCTAACTTTGACTTAGGCGAAGAATCAGACCCTAAAGAGGTTAAGGTAAGAATTATTCCGGGCAAGAAATTCTTGGTAGAAATGAATGATTCATTATAACTTATTATTCTGAAGGAAGAAGATAGGCCTCCCTGAGCCTCTTAGACCTTACTTTTAGGCCTCTTGGATGATTTCTCTTATCTTCTTTTAGCCAAAAATGCCTTTTAAAAAATTGAGTTTGGCTCAGTAGTATAAACTTTGGTCTTAACTTGTTAATTTTACCAAATTACAAGGATTTTGCAGAATTCCATGGATTTTGGGGAAAATTATATTTCAAAATTTAACTTGCTTACACTGCTTTAGGAAGACAAGAAGGATGAGACAGCCACTTCTGGCATTATGGGGATGCTTCAGAAGCTGAACTTGGATGACTCATCAGACTCTGATGTATAACCTGCTTATCATATCATAAAATTTCGTTTGAGTTTCTATAGTTTTCTTTAGCTATTTTAATGAAATTATGAACTCTTATAGTCAAGCTGCTCTAGACTTGGCTTATGAAATTTCCTGAGCTAATTCAGGGAATTTCTCACTTGATTTCTCCTATGAATTGGGCCTCTTTCAACATTGAGTTTAAACATGGGGTTTTGGGGTTTTGGGGTTTTGGGGTTTTGGGGTTTTGGGGTTTTGGGG